CCGCGCCCCCCAGCCCGACCGCGGGGGGCAGCCCCAGCAGCCCCGCGGCCCCCAGCAGCCGCGCGCCCCCCAGCCCGACCGCGGGGATCGGCCCCGGCAGCCCCGCGCCCCCCAGCCCGACCGCGGGGGGCAGCCCCGGCCCTGCCACCGACCCTGTTAGCCTCGGCACGACTCCGGGGGGAAGTTCAGGCCCCGGACCCCCCAGCTCAGAGGGAGGCAGCTCCGCGGAGCCGGAGCCCAGCGCGGCTCCAGGAGTCCAGGGAGACCCATCCGCTCCCGAAGGTGAGGAGGCGCCCATAGTCCCTTCTCGCTCATTCCCTGCAGGGCATTGCCCAGGCCCAGGGTGCGCTCACCCCCGGCCCAGCCTGTTTCCTCCCTGCCCCATGCCCTGCAAGGCAGTGCCCAGGGTCCCCGTCACTGATCTGGACCCAGCCTGTCTCTCCACCCATTCCCAGCAGTACAGTGCTCAGGGTCCCCTCTCACCCTGACCTGGGCTGTCTCCTGACCATTTCCCTGCAGTACAGTGCCTGGGTTCCCCTCTCTGCTGACACAGACTCTCTTCCCCTCCCCGCCCCCTGCAGGGTAGTGCTTGGGTTCCCCTCTCCATCTGACCTGGCTTGTCACTCCCCCTCATCCCCTTCAGGGCGATACCCAGGGTCCTTTCCCATATCAGCCTGTCTCTCTCGAATCTCCCACTAGCTGGTCTCCCTCACCTACCCCTTACAGGGCGGTCCCGAGGGTCCCCTCTCCCCCCAAACCAGCTTCCCCCCCCCACATCACCTAGAGGACAGTGTCTGGGGTCACCTCTCCCCCGATCTGGTGTCTCTCTCTTCTTAGCTTGTTTGCCCACCTGTATCTGCAACCTGCATTCTGGATCCTGTGACATAAACTGCTGCTGTGATACTGACTGTAACCTTGGATGTGATCTGGGGGACTCAAGGGCTGCCTTCTCCTTCTGTCTTCCAGGCAGTACCAGGTAAGGTGTGAGGGATCAGCTTCCTATGCTCTTCAATGCTGCATACAGATACCCTTGCAAACCAGTGGTGAAAGGCCCAGGGCAGTGCTGATGCCAGACTGCTGTAATATATTTTTGCCCCTTTTCAATCCAAGCGGCTAGTCAAACTCTTGGACCCGGGAGTAGAAATTGGTGATAGGCAGGTATATCTTTGATGCAGTTTTGTTTATTACGAATGTATCCCACACACCTCCTGGGTGTGGTGTTCTGTCCCATCTAGTGGCACCGAGACCACTTATCAACAGCTTTAGCTAAGGGCCATAGGGCTTTTAGCTCATGCAGTAGAGGCTCGTGCATTTAGCATCCCAGGTTCGATCCCGCCCGCTGACGAACGGGGTCTGTCGGTGTTACACAAAGAATGTACAAAGTTCTGTGTCTCTGAATGCAGAGAGAATCAAATAGCAGGAAATGGCTTTTTTTCCCTACAGCACTAAGAGCATTCTTTTCTAGGTTTCCTACTGGGTCAGCCACCATGCTTTCAGCTGCTCCTTGAGGCTGTGTCGCTCTCTCAGGCTTTGTCTACACTAGCACTTTTGTCGGCAAAACTTTTGTTGGTCAGGGGTGTGAAAAAACCACACCCCGACCGATATAAGTTTCACTGACAAAAGTGCCGGTGTTGACTGCACTATGTCAGTGGGAGAGCCTCTTCTGCTGACATAGCTACCACTGCTCGTTGTGGGGTGGTTTAATTATGCTGGCTGAAGAGCTCTCTCCCACCGGCATAGAGCGGCTACACAAAAGACCTTACAGTGGCACAACTGCAGTGGTACAGCTGTGCTACTGTAAGGTCAGTAGTGTAGACATAGCCTCAGTCGGTTCTGGTCTGGTCTCAGTTTCTGTGTATTCTCTCTTTCCACCACCCTCCTTCCCCCCCCCCCCCCCCCCCAAAAAAAACAATACTCAGCCAAAAGCTCTTGGGCAGGTTCACATATACCTTTTGTCTTGGGGGGGGTTTATGCTTACAGTTATGTTAATTGAAGGGTGAGTTCACACCTACCAATCTCAATGAGGTTTTTTAACTCCACTCATAACAAGCCTTCTCCTTCTAACACCCAGGCAGCAGTAGCTGAGGTGTGACGGACTGGCTGCCTGGTGCCCTTCCATGTTGCATGCAGACATCTTGGCTAAGCAATGGCTAAGGGACCATGATAATGCTGATGCCTGACTGAAGTAAATAACATACATATATGCAAGGAGATTGGGGTAACACTTTGAATCATAAAATCATAGAAGATTAGGGTTGGAAGAAGCCTCAGGAGGTCATCAAGTCCAACCCCCTGCTCTAAGCAGGACCAACCCCAACTAAATCATCCCAGCCAGGGCTTTGTCAAGCTGGGCCTTAAAAACCTCTAAGGATGGAGATTCCACCACCTCCGTAGGTAACCTATTCCAGTGCTTCACCACCCTCCTAGTGAGTTTTTCCTAATATCCAACCTAGACCTCCCCCACTGCAACTTGAGACCATTGCTCCTTGAACTCTCATCTGCCACCACTGAGAACAGCCGAGCTCCATCCTCTTTGGAACCCCCCTTCAGTAGTTGAAGGCTGCTATCAAATCCCCCCCTCACTCTTCTCTTCTGAAGACTAAATAAGCCCAGTTCCCTGAGCCTCTCCTCGTAAGTCATGTGCCCCAGCCCCCTGATAATTTTTGTTGCCCTCTGCTGGACTCTCTCCAATTTATCCACATCTTTTCTGTAGTGCGGGACCCAAAACTGGCCGCAGTACTCCAGATGTGGCCTTGCCAGTGCCGAATAGAGGGGAATAATCACTTCCCTTGATCTGCTGGCAATGCTCCTACTTATACAGCCCAAAATGCTGTTAGCCTTCTTGGCAACAAGGCACACTGTTGACTCATATCCAGCTTCTCATCCACTGTAATCCCCAGGTCCTTTTTGCAGAACTGCCGCTTAGCCAGTCAGTCCCCAGCCTGTAGCAATGCATGGGATTCATCTGTCTTAAGTGCAGGACTCTACACTTGTCCTTGTTGAACCTCATCAGATTTCTTTTGGCCCAATCCTCCAATTTGTCTAGGTCACTCTGGACCCTATCCCTACCCTCCAGTGTATATACCTCTCCCCCAAGCTTAGTGTCATCCACGAACTTGCTGAGGGTGCAATCCATCCTATCATGCAGATCATTAATGAAGATGTTGAACAAAACAGGCCCCAGGACCAACCCCTGGGGCACGCCTCTTGATACTGGCTGCCAACTAGACATTGAGCCATTGATCACTATCCGTTGAACCCGACGATCTAGCCAGCTTTCTATCCACCTTATAGTCCATTCATCCGCTCCATATTTTTTTAGCTTGCTGGCAAGAATACTGTGGGAGACTGTGTCAAAAGCTTTGCTAAAGTCAAGGTATATCATGTCCACTGCTTTCCCCATCATAGAAGGCAATCAGTTTTGTCAGGCATGACTTGCCCTTGGTGAATCCATGTTGAGTGTTCCTGATCACCTTCCTCCTCCAAATGCTTCAAAGTGGATTCCTTGAGGACCTGCTCCATGATTTTTCTGGGGACTGAGGTGAGGCTGTCCAGTCTTTAGTTCCCCGGATTCTCCTTCTTCCTTTTTTAAAGATGGGCACTATATTTGCCTTTTTCCAAACATCTGGGACTTCCCCCGATCACCACAAGTTTTCAAAGATAATGGCCAATGGCTCTGCAATCACATCAGCCATCTCCCTCAGCATCCTCGGATGCATTGCATCTGGCCCCATGGACTTGTGCATGTCCAGCTTTTTCTTTGCTTTCTCACTGTCTGAACACTTCCAATAGAAACTAAAATCCAAACACAGTTATTTTAATATCACTTGCTGTTTGTGTGATCTTTCTCCTGATGTTCAAATGCCTGAGGTCAGTTAAATGATTATGAGGGAGGAGCTGGGGATGTTTGGCCAGGGCTCATACATTGTCATGACAGTTTTGCAAGGCTGGATATGATGACTTTATAATGAAATTATTAGGGATGGCAACTGAGAGGCAGGGGATAGGGAGACAGATTGGAGAGAAGAGGGAGGAGGTTGGGCTGGGCTGTTCTAGAAAGGGGGAGATTTGGGAGAAGGCTCGTACTCCTGCGATTATGAGATTGTGGAAAGGACAGAGGAGATCCATGCTGGCCCTATATTGCATTGGGAAGAATCCTAAAGTGCCTTGCAAATATACAGATCACTTCTGACCCACAGCTCCTTCTAGGGTGAGACACAATAGCTGTTTAATAATGCAAAACAGCTTGTGTTAGGAAATTAAGAAGAATTCGGTATCCAGTTGGTTGGGGGGGGGTGGAGGGACATGGAATGTAAATGTATCCTTAGCGTTAGCTCTCTCTCTCTCTCTTCTGTTTTTTGTGCAGAACTGTGAGTCAAGTGTGCGTGGAGAAGTCTCTTATTTTCAGAAATAACACCCCTCATCACACTGAAATCGTCACTGACCCCAGCGGATATGAGTCTCTGTTCTGTGTGCGTCTGAGTGATTGTAAGTAGTCTTACCCTCTGCACACTGAATTCCCAAGTTCTCCCTGATCAGGGAATCGGTTCTGTAACATCTTGTGAATATGAGGGGTGAACAGTCAGCTGTTCCACAGCACTTGCCAGCATCACTACAGGCCTAGGGTGGGAGAAGGAGTTATGCGCCTTTGAGCTGAAGCTGGCCAAGAAATCTACAAGATTGCCACAAGGTATTATTGAGGCCAAGAGCTCAGTGAGATTTAAAAAGTTAACACATTTATGAGAATAATTATAACATTCACAAGGATAGTAAAGAAGATAAGAATGCTATAAGGAGTATAAACCCTCTGGCTTCATGGCATAAATCTTGAGTTAGAAAGCAGCTTCCCCAGGGGCATGTTACTCCATAATGGGCCATTATGTGTTTTCTTGCATCTTCCTCTGAAGCATTTGGCAGTGACCATTGTCAGAGACCGAGACCAGACTAGGGCTATGGCTACACTGGCGCTTTACAGCACTGCAACTTTCTCGCTCACGGATGTGAAAAAACACCCCTCTGAGCACAGCAAGTTACAGTGCTGTAAAGCGCCAGTGTAAACAGTGCCCCAGCGCTGGGAGCCATGATTGGCCTAGATGAACCAATAGTCTGATCTAATCTGAAATTTTCTGTATTATGTTACTGTGCCTGCCCCTGAGTCTCCCTACTAGTTTGTATTTAAGTTCACATTTCCTTATTGTATAATATGTTTTTCATTCACCTGTTGCTCTTTCAAGGATCCATTCAAATATGCAGATTCATACGGCCTACACTCAGCTGGCTAGGAAAACAAAAATATTTTACTTACTTGCTATGGGCCTGAGCCAAAGTGCTTTGAAGTCAGTATATCCCATTATATAATATATATACCAATGTAACAATTTCTCTTTCAAAAAGCCTGCAGAGGTTTATCAGCCATGTGGTATTTCTTCTTCTGGATCAGGGGTGGCCAACCCGAGCCTGAGAAGGAGCCAGAATTTACCAATGTGCATTGCCAAAGAGCCACAGTAACACATCAGCAGCCCCCCCATCGGCTCCCCCCTCTGCCCCCAGTGTCTCCCACCCACCAGCAGCACCGCTGATCAGCACCTAATCCTCCAACCCTGCGCCTCCCGCCCGCTGTGATCAGCTGTTTTGTGGTGTGCAGGAGGCTCGGGGGGCAGGGTGGGGGAGGAGAAGTAAGGGTGTGGCAGACTCAGGGGAAGGGTCGGGGGCCTTGGGGGAAGGAGTGGAGTGGGGCCAGGGCCTGGAGCAGAGCCAGGGGTTGAGCAGTGAGCACCCTGTAGCACATTGGAAAGTTGGCGCCTGCAGCTCCAGCCCTGGAGTCGGCGCCTGTGCAAGGAGCCACATATTCATCCTGTGAAGAGCCACATGTGGCTCCAGAGCCACAGGTTGTCCACTCCTATTCTGGATCATGGTGATGACATTAAAAACTTACATAAAACAGGGAATAAACCCATCTACAGGTTTAGTTTATTTTTTTTTCACCTCATGGATTCTAAAACATGCTTCTCCTGTACAGTAACTCCTTGCTTAACGTCGTCCCGGCTAACGTTGCGTCATTGTTACATTGCTGATCTATTAGAGAACATACTTATTTAAATTTGCGCAATGTTTGCATATAACATTGTTTGGCCCTGGGAGCTTGGAACCAAGGTGGGCTAGCAGCCCCCCTATCAGCACCCCTCAACCCCCCTCAGCCCCTCCTGCCCACGGCCCCATGGATCAACAACTCCCCCTCCTCCCCCCCGCACCTCCCGCCTGCAGCAATCATCTGTTTTGCAGCATTCAGGAGGCTCTGGGGGGAGGGAGGATGAGCAAGGATGTGGCGTACTAGGCAATGTATTAGCTAAAGCAGCCCCCTGCTTCTTCAATTCATATTTCAGCTCACCAAAAGGTAACACCAAAATTTTCAAGGGTGTTTTTTAATATTGTGCTTCTTAATATGGGCACCTAACTGGCTCTGTGGATATGAGGAAAGCAGTGGACGTGATATATCTTGACTTAGCAAAGCTTTTGATACGGTCTCCCACAGTATTCTTGCCAGCAAGCTAAAAAAAATATGAATTGGATGAATGGACTATAAGGTGGGTAGAAAGCTGGCTAGATTGTTGGGCTCAACAGGTAGTAATCAACAGCTCGATGTCTAGCTGGCAGCCGGTATCAAGCAGAGTACCCAGGGGTGGTCCTGCAGATGGTTTTGTTCAACATCTTCATTAATGAGCTGGATGATGGGATGGATTGCGCCCTCAGCAAGTTCGCAGATGACACTAAGCTGGGGGGAGAGGTAGATACCCTGGAGGGTAGGGATAGGGTCTAGAGTGACCTAGACAAATTGGAGGATTGGGCCCAAAGAAATCTGATGTGGTTTGACAAGGACAAGTGCAGAGTCCTGCACTTAGGATGAAAGAATCCCATGCACCGCTACAGGCTGGGGACCAACTGGCTAAGCAGCAGTTCTGCAGAAAAAGACCTGGGGATTACAGTGGATGAGAAGCTGGATATGAGTCAGCAGTGTCCCCTTGTTGCCAAGAAGGCTAATGGCATATTGGGCTGTATTAGTAGGAGCATTGCCAGCAGATCAAGGGAGTGATTATTCCCCTCTATTCGGCACTGATGAGGCCACATCTGGAGTATTGCATCCAGTTTTGGGCCCCCTACTACAGAAAGGATGTGGATAAATTGGAGAGAGTCCAGCAGAGGGCAACAAAAATTATCAGGGAGCTGGGGGAACTGGGCTTCTTTAGTCTGCAGAAGAGAAGAGGGAGGGCGGGATTTGATAGAAGCCTTCAACTACCTGAAGGGGGATTCCAAAGAAGATGGAGCTCAGTTGTTCTCAGTGGTGGCAGATGACAGAACAAGGAGCAATGGTCTCAAGTTGCAGTGGGGGAGGTCTAGGTTGGATATTAGGAAACACTATTTCACTAGGAGGGTGGTGAAGCATTGGAATGGGTTGCCTCGGGAGTTGGTGGAATCTCCATCCTTAGAGGTTTTTAAGGCCCGGCTTGACAAAGCCCTGGCTGGGATGATTTAGTTGGTGTTGGTCCTGCTTTGAGCAGGGGATTGGACTAGATGATCTCTTGAGGTCTCTTCCAACCCCAATTTTCTATGATCTTGAGATGCCTGGGGCCGGATTTAAAAAAACAAAACAAAATATGCATCTCCCATTTAATGGAGGTGTAGGCACTCAGCACTTCTGAAAATCAGACCATCGATGTCTTAAGTTGGGTACTGAGAAACAGAGGCACCCATGATCAGACTGATTTGGAAAATTTTGTCCGGAGGCACTTGCTCAAGATCAGACAAAGTCTGTGGCAGAGGCAAGAACAGAGCTCAGATTTCCTTATTCCCTGTTTTGTGCCTTAACTTCAAGACCATCTTCCTTCCCCTTGGAATAGTCTCTTCTCTTCCTTCTTGAGAAAATGGTGTTTTGTGGCTTTTTAATCATCAAAAGGAAACAGATTTCCGAAATCCTTGCAGGTCATACAGCCTTTTGCTGAGTCCAGGTTCCAGTGATGATGGCTTAAACAGGAATAGTTCCACCATGCAAGGATGCAGTTACCCAAACAGAGAATGCCTTTGAGGGGAATGGGGGGAACCCGGGCCCACCTTGTATTCTGGGTTCCAGCCCAGGGCCCTGTGGATTGCAGCTGTCTATAGTGTCTCCTGTAACAGCTGTGTGACAGCTACAACTCCTTGGGCTACTTCCCCATAGCCTCCTCCCAACACCTTCTTTATCCTCACCACAGGACCTTCCTCCTGATATCTGATAACACTTGTACTTCACAGTCCTCCAGTAGTACGCCTACTCGCTCTCAGTTTTTTGCACCTCTTACCCTCAGCTCCTCACATGCGCCCCTCACTGACTGAAGTGAGGTCCTTTTAAACCAGGTGCCCTGATTAGCCTGCTTGTCTTAATTGCTTCTAGCAGCTTCTTAATTGGCTCCAGGTGTCCTAATTAGCCTGTTTGCCTTAATTTGTTCCAGCAAGTTCCTGATTGTTCTGGAACTGCCCCTGTTACCTTACCCAGGGAAAAGGGACCTGCTTAACCTGAGGCTAATATATCTGCCTTCTATCACTCCTGTAGCCATCTGGCCCGACCTGTCACACTATCTATCCCTTTCTTAATGATTCCCAACGTTCTGTTAGCTTTTTTGACTGCCGCTGCACATTGACTGGATGTTTTCAGAGAACTATTCACAATGACTCCAAGATCTCTTTTTTGAGTGGATAAACTAAATACTTTGAGCTTTGTAAGGTTCTAACCTATAAGGCATGTTTCCCAAACCTCAGTGCATTCTTGTGCTCTTTTCTGAGTCATTTCCATTTTTTCAATATCCTTTTAGAAGAGTGGACAGTAGAACTGGACATAATATTTTGGTAATGGTCTCACTAATGCTGTGTTCAGGGTCGTTACCACCTCCTTACCCCAACTTGATATTTCCTTGCTAATGCATCCAAGGACCATGTTAGCCCTAAAAGAGTACATCTACACTGCCCCCCCCCCAAAAAAAAGCCTGATGGCAGCGAGTCTTAGAGCTTAGGTCAGTTGACTTGGGCTGGTGGCATTTGCGCTACAGGACTAAAAATAGCAGTGTAGATGTTTTGGGCTTGGGCTGAAGCCCTGGCTCTGAGACCTGGCAAGGGAGGAAGGTCTCAGAGCCTTGTCTCCAGCCTGAGTGGGAAAGTATACACTGCTATTTTTAGCCCTGTAATGTGGGACCATGAGCCCAAGTCTGTTCACCCGGGCTCTGGCACTCACTGCTGCAGGTCATTTTTTGTAGTGTAGACATACCCTTAGGTCCATCAATGGCTATTAGCCAGGCTAGGCTGGGGTGGTGTCCCTAGCCTCTGTTTACTAGAAACTGGGAATGGGCGACGGGATGGATCACTTGATGATTACCTGTTCTGTTCATTCCCTCTGGGGCCCCTGGCATTGGCCACTGTCGGAAGACAGGATACTGGGCTAGATGGACCTTTGGTCTGACCCAGTATGACTGTTCTTATGTTCTACAGGATCACACTGGGAGCTCATGTTTAGCTACTTATCTATCATGACCTGTAAATCCTTCTCAGTGTCACTTCATTCAAAGACACAGGCCCCCATCTTGTAAGTTTGACCTACATTTAGTGTTCCTAGATGCATGACCTTGGATTCATCTGTATTAAAATGCATGTTGTTCAAATGAACCCACTTTACCAAGCTCTCCAGATCGGTCTATATAACTGATTTGTCCCTTTTATTAGCCATTCTACAGCTGTGTGCCCTCTGGAAGTTTTCCTAGCTGCAATTTTATATCTGTTCCAGATAATTTATAAAGTTATTGAATAGCATTGCGCCGAGAAGAGATCCCTGTGAGACCTCACTAGAAAGCCCCTTCACCCCCCGCCCCCGATGACTATTCCTCTATCAAGGGATGAGCTTCTCCAGCATGCCTCTTTGTGGCTCTACTGGTGCACTCAATGCCCCTTTCAGTTCTTTCATTCAATTACGAGGCTTAGCTTGGTTCAGAAACATGCATACCCTTTGTAGAGTCTGGTTTATTAAATTTTCTACAGAGGGTGACTGACTTTGTTAGTTGCCCCAGATCACCGTACTCTAGGTCCCAGTAAGCGTCCTGGTCAGCTCTTTGTGCCGGTTCAGGAGAGCACCCCCCCTTCCCTGAGTTGGTGTTGTGCTTCAAACAGTCATTCTCTCTCTCTCCTTATCGTGGGATCCTCGATCCTCCTAGCTCTCTTCTAATACCAGGCTATACATCAATGACATGTTTTGTAAATCGCATACTTGATTGTTTGTCCACACTTTGGTTCTTTATGTAATTTACTTGAGGCCAAATAACCAATATCAGTCAGGTTTATTGCTAAAAATTAATAATATAGTATAGGAAAAAAGATTCAACCTGATATCAGTTTCTGGGAGGCTATATTGTTCAGCATTTTAAAATTAATCTTACACAGAAGGTGTGCTTCCAAATTTCACATTTCCGCTGGTAGTATTTATAGGATGATTTTATAAGTTACAAAACTCTTTACACATCACTAAAATCTAGTTTGTACCAGTTCCTTAACTTGTTCTATATCTTCCTTATCTTTGTTTTGGATACTAGCATTCCAGGTATTGGTCTTTGAAGGTAATGTACCTCCCTCCCCAGCCTGTATCAGGGCAGAACATTAATGTATTTTGTCTTTGACAGGATTTCCATTTCCTAATGCCAAATCTGACTTCAACTTTGCAAAGTGCTATACATAAATGAACAGGATTATAAAAAGGCATAGGCCAGTTCAGGCCATGTAACTGCTAGAAATATAATACAATACAATATAATGATATGTTTATATTGTGTGCTTAATACATATTAATATATGCGGTGTGAATAATTCATACGGATGATGTGATAGATAAATATTAGCTGAACACATATTGGTCAACAGAAACAGTCACTCTTCTCACAGCAGACACTCTAGCCCTCCTCCTTAGGGCTGGATTATAATTTAGCCAGTTTCATCCTCAACTGGCCCCTTTTTCCTCAATTAATCCTCAGGCTAGGAGGATACAGCAGGCAGCCTTCTGCTGCTGCTGTCTCCTCCCTGCTAGCTCAGGGCCCTGCAGGAGCCTTCTTACTCCCTATAGCAGTTTTGGGCAATCTGCGGCCCACAGGCCGCACACGGCCGACCAGGGTAATGCGCTGGCAGGCCACGAGACAGTTTGTTTACATTGACCATCAGCATGCACAGTTGCCCACAGCGCCCAGTGGCTGTGCTTTGCCGTTCCCAGCCAATGGGAGCTGCGGGAAGCGGCGCGGACCACAGGGACATGCTGGCTGCCGCTTCTCGCAGCTCCATTGGCCGGGAATGGCGAACTGCAACCATTGGGAGGTGCGGGTGGCCGGGCCTGTGGACAGTCAATGTAAACAAACTGTCTCGCGGCCCGCCAGTGCATTACCGTGACGGGCCGCAGATTGCCCACCACTGCCCTACAGTGTCTGCAGGCATTTGCTGCCCTGCTGGGAGGAAGGAGAGAACATTATTTATGCTGGTCCCCTTCTCCCAGCTCATTCCCAGTTGGTTGGGAGGAGAGGGGAGCCTTGCCCCTCCCTCTCTGGAAGGCTCCTGGCCCTTGGCCCTTAAAGGATACAGTTACAGGATTTCCTCCCAAGAACTGCTCATTCCCAGGACTATTTCCTCCCCACATCCCCATTTGGTCCTCTTGGACCTTTCGAACCCTTGAAGGACCATGCCATGTGGTGGGGTGGGCTGACAACTACTACTGAGCTACTGCCCTTAAGGGGCAGACTACCCCGTCACATGCTCACTTATAATTACGTAGAGATTTATCATTTAATCAGTTTTAAATTAACTTAATATGGGCTACATTGGTTTGTATAGTGCTAATTTTTACTAAAATCAGAATATCATGTGGGACTAAGTCAAATGCTTTACAGAAGTCTAAGCATATTATGTCATGGTTACCTTTATCAACCATACTTGTAATAAAAAAAAGATAAAATTTGTTTGACATAAAATATTTCCCCTGAAATCATGTTGATTGGCATTAAATATACTATCGTCCTTTACTAATTGCATATCAGCTTTTCCTTTTTTTGCCTGGCATTGATGTCAGGCTAACGAGCCTATATTTACCAAAGTCATCTCTTTTAGAACAGTGGCACAACATTAGCCTTTCCACAATCTTTGTCTAGTGATTTGATGGTGGATTTGTTTGTTTTTTCCCTCCCCAACTTTAGCAAAGTTGAACTATTTCCAGGAGCCGCAAAAAGTTAAAAAATCAGATTTCTCCATGTTCTTGGCACAGTATGGTGGACCATCATTCATTCAACCATCACAAGACCAGCCATCTTCCTCTGCATTTTACCGGGTGAGTTGGAAGAGCACTCACAAAAATCTAATTGTTTTTCTCTGGGGTTCTTGGTGGCAGCAAGGGGAATATAAGAATGCCATAAGGAGTTAGACCACTACTCTGTCTAACCCATTACAGTGGCTGGCGCCAGATGAACAGAACTGGACAAATTGGAGTGATCCGTTCTTTGTTGTCCAGTCCCAGCTTCTGGCAGTCAGAGGTTTAGGGACACCCAGAGTATGGGGTTGCGTCCCTGACCATGTGGCTAATAGCCATTGGTGGATCTAGCTTTCATGAATTTAGCTAATCCTTTTTCAATACAAGTATCAAAGGGGTAGCCGTGTTAGTCTGGATCTGTAAAAGCAGCAGAGTCCTGTGGCACCTTATAGACTAACAGACGTTTTGGAGCATGAGCTTTCGTGGGTGAATACCCACTTCTTCGGATGCATGTTAGTCTGTAAGGTGTCACAGGACTCTTTGCTGCTTTTTCAATACAGTTACACTTTTGGCCTTCTCAACTTCTGATGGCAACAAGTTCCACAGGTTTTGTGTGTGTGTGTCAAGGCTCCTTCCCCACTCTGAACTTTAGGGTACAGATGTGGGGGCCTGCATGAAAACTTCTAAGCTTAACTATCAGCTTAGATCTGGTCCGCTGCCACCACTCCCAATGTGCTAATTCCCTTCCCTGGGTAGCCTTGAGAGACTCTTCACCAATTCCCTGGTGAATACAGATCCAAATTCCTTGGATCTTAAAACAAGGAGAAATTAACCATCCCCCCTCCTTTCTCCCACCAACTCCTGGTGGTTCAAGATCCAACCCCCTTGGATCTAAAAACAAGGAAAATCAATCAAGTTCTTAAAAAGAAGGCTTTTAATTAAAGAAAAAAGTAAAAATCATCTCTGTAAAATCAGGATGGAAAATAACTTTACAGGGTAATCAAACTTAAAGAGCCCAGAGGAATCCCCTCTAGCCTTAGGTTCAAAATTACAGCAAACAGAGGTAAACACCCTAGTAAAAGGTACATTTACAAGTTGAGAAAACAAAGATAAAACTAACACGCCTTGCCTGGCTGTTTACTTACAAGTTTGAAATATGAGAGACTTGTTCAGAAAGATTTGGAGAGCATGGATTGATGTCTGGTCCCTCTCAGTCCCAAGAGCGAACAACCACCAAAACAAAGAGCATAAACAAAAGCCTCCCCCCCGCCCCAAGATTTGAAAGTATCTTGTCCCCTTAAGTATCTTTGGGTCAGGTGTCAGCCAGGTTACCTGAGCTTCTTAACCCTTTACAGGTAAAAGGATTTTGGAGTCTCTGGCCAGGAGGGATTTTATAGTATTGTACACAGGAGGGCTGTTACCCTTCCCTTTATAGTTATGACAGTGTGTTAAGGAAGTACTTCCTTATGTTTGTTTTAAACTTGCTGCCTATTAATTTCATTGGATGACCCCTGGTTCTTGTGCTATGTGAAGGGATAAATAACACTTCCCTATTCACTTTCTCCACACCATTCATGATTTTATAGCGTCCAGCCTCCCATCCACCCTCCTCCTTCCCAGGGGTAAAACGGGAAGTCTGCTTCCCACCAAACTTAAACTCCTCTGCCTGTGATCTATACCTAATAGATGCTTGGGATTGTTCAAATTCATCAGCAAAAGTTGCAAGTTCTTTGACCATTTTTACCTTTTTATCCCATAAACACTGTTTTACATCATCATTAGACATATTCAGGAACTGTTCCTGAGCCACCAAATCACACATTTCTTTAAAGCTTGAAATACCTTTTCCCCTTACCCACTTATCCAGTAAATCTCTCATTTAGTTTACATATGCCACATTACTCAATCCAGCCCCTCTCTTAAAGCTTCTAAATTTTACTCTATAAGTTTCAGGTGTAATCTGAAACTGTTTTAAAACCAATTCCTTAAATTTACCATAATTTGAAACATCATCAATTGACATTTTATTGAATATATCCAGAGCTCTCATAGAGAACTTTGCAACCAAAATGGTCATCTGTTGATCCTCAGGAATCTCATGGAGCACACACAGCCTCTCAAAGGTGATGAAATATTCAATACTGTCCCCAGGCTTGCTGTATGCAGGACACAACCCCTTCCACTTGTGGATTTTTGGAGAGGTTGAGCCCCTAGTGTGGGGTTCTGTTCCTCCATTCCATTAAGGCTAGTTCATGCTTTCTCGCTTTTTCTTTCTCCTTGTGATGTTCCCCTGGTGTTATCTGGACTGGTGATCTGCTAGGCCACTTCAGTCCTCGACTCTGGGAGCCAGCCTTACCTACTCTGCTGTGAGAACCCCCACTCCTGGGATGTTCACGCACAGCCTCTGGATGTAAGCTGCTCCCAGCTACGTGAGTGGGCACTTTTGGCCAGCCGCTGCTTGGATTGTGCAACTGAGTGACACTAGCCATTATCTCCGGTCCCAGACACAACCCTAGGAACCTCTGTCTTGCAGTGTCCAGTTATGCCCACTGGACGCTGCAAGCCTATATGGTTCATCAATTTAACAAATAAATTGATATGTTCCAGGCTTGTTATTCCAAGGGGAGTCTCTGCACTGCTTCAGGTAGAATAAACGATTTTAAGTGATTATAAGTCAAAGCACAAGAAGTCAGATTTGGTCAAACAAAATAAAAGCAAAATGCATTCTAAGCTGATCTTAACACTTTCAATGCCCTTACAAACTTAGATGCTTCTCACCACAGGCTGGCTGGTTGCCCTTCAGCCAGGCTCTCCCCTTTGATCAGTGCTTCAGTCGCTTGGTGGTGATGTCTGTAGATGGAGGTGGAAGAGAGAGGAAGAGCATGGCAAATGTCTCTCCCTTTTATCATGTTCTTTCTTCCCTCTTGGGCTTTGCCACCCCCCTTCAGGGTCAGGTGAGCATTACCTCATTGTAGTCCCTGACTGA